CCTGTAACACAACCTACTGCAATGTGCAGGGTCTGCCTGGACCACCCACCTTGTCCCCACAGGGCAAGGGGACACCACACAAATGCTGATGCTTATGTGGCTCCCTGCAAGTAACAACAGCTTTGGTCTCCGGCCCAGCAGTCTCCAGGCTTCTGCCAGCATTTTGGAAACTACTACAGGCTAACTTACTAGCTGGTAAATGGGGGAAAATCGAACCCCAGACAAAACAGTCAGCTGGCTGAAGGCCAGCTGGGCTGCTAGCCCCTTGGCAACTGCCAAAGGGTGGTTGTCAAGATTTTCTGATTATTAACATTCTAGAATGCCCCGGGCCAATGCCTTGTGGGAAGGGAAACCCAGGCCCTTAATACTACATGCCTAAGGCCATCGGCTCCTGGGATGCAGCTACGTTCTGAGGAAACAGTCCACAATAGGGGTTGTGGTGTTTGCAGGGTCAGGGCACTCTGTCCACATCAGCTTCAGAAGAGACGAAACCAGGCCTTGAAGCACTTGCTTTTCCAATGAGCCGCGTCAGTCCTCGGACGGGACGTGGAGGGATGGGCACCCTCCGTGGAGGACTGTCTCGCCCCACCTTGGTTTCCCTGGCCACTAAAGTTGGCATCCAGATCTCTTCCTTAAGGTGTCGTGACCAAGGAAAATCGTCAGGGAGCGACTCTGAAGAACGTGAGCCGGTGAAAGGTTAGGGGAGGGGCAGCTGATCAAGCAGTAGCCAATGCCATCAGCGCCGCAGGCCAGTGGGGAACACATGTGCACTTTTCCTACAAAGGAGAAGGCATTGCTTACACCCTTAGGTAGTTTTTTTGTTGTTGTTGTTTTTATTTTTTTAATTTTAATCTTTGTTCAAGTAGTTTTCTCCCTTTTACTCCCATTCCAGCCCACCCACCCATCCCTCCCCACTTCCCTCCCATTACCACCCTCCCCCTAGTTTTTGTCCATGTGTCCTTTAAATTTGTTCCTGTAAACCCTTCCCATTCTCCCCTGAAATTCCCTCTTCTCTCCGCAGGTAGTTTTTTTAATGTCTTACTTTTAGGCAGAGGTACTGAGGAAACAGGCAGGGGAGGCAGGGCTGTCAGATGCCAGGGCAGGCAGGGACTGGGGGGCAGGCCTAAGCTACTGCCATGCCTGTTAGCCATGAGAGCTGAATGTCAGGGAACTAGTATCTTCCCGAGAGCACAATGGTGGCCTCTCCCACGCCCCCAACCGGGGACCTACTCTGCAACCCAGGCACATGCCCTGACTGGGAATCAGCAACCTTTTGCTTCACAGGCCGGCACTCAATCCACAGAGCCATGCCAGCCTGTCTTCACCCAAGCATGTGTGCCACTTGGCCCGCTTTAGCCTGGCCTGCCTCTGGAAACCCCCTGGGTCAGATACAGTGCACAGATGGTGTGCTGTAGAACGGTGTACCCGAAACCCGAGTGATTTTGTTAACCAGTGTCACCCCAATAAACTCAAGGAAAGGAAAAAATAAATACTTCTGGGTCAGGTAGAGCAGGGCAGTGCTCTGCCTCCACGCGCCCCTACCCTTCCTGACGAACCAAAGGTGGGGGCCAGCCTGTCCTTGGAAAGCACCCTGGGAGAAGGCAGAACTACCAGACACAAGGAGCCAGGTCCCACACCCACCAGCTCTGGCTTTCGTGGCAGTGAAAAATGAAGCTGCCCTGTCCAGCCTCTGTCTTTGGGTCTCTGCAGAAGCTGCCACATCCTAATCTCATGCAGCAGTGATCAGAGGCGAGTCTGGAGGACCAGGCTGTGGTCTCCCTGGACCCACTGGCCCTGCCCGCAATTTCTGCACAGTGGCAGAGGGCCACAGTCAAACCTCACTTCTCAAATGTCCCCCATCTCAGTGTGGTTCTCGGCCAATAACCCCTTCATGCTGATACCTGTATGGTTTGGTTTTCAAACAAATTGCTTCCCAAATAGCCTTCTGAGTGAATTAAGTTGGAAAACTGAGGTTCCACTGCACCTTATCTTGGGTCTGGAAGACCACTCACCTTGCTATTCTACTACCTTCTAGCCCAGTGCCCTTGGGCATTGAATTGTACTTTTTGAGGCCAGGTTCACAAGGAAATATGAGATTGTGTTTGTGGATAACAGTGAAACCTGATGCTCTGGATGGGTAGCTCAGTTGGTTAGAGCATCGCCCCAATAACCAAGGTTGCAGGTTCGATCCCCAGTCAGGGCACATACAAGAATCAACCAATGAATGCATAAATAAGTGGAACAACACATTAATATGTTTCTCTCTCCTGCCCTCTAAAAACATACACACACACACACACACACACAAACCCTGACATTTACTGAACATATATTTACCTTGTACCAGGCAGGCTCTGTGGGAGAACACCTACTTGATAAGGTAAGTTCCCCACTTCACAGAGCAGGAAACTCAAGGCCCAGAGTGGTTGCTCATTTGTCTGCAGAGCAGTAAGGGGCAGGGCGAGGGTTCGCCTGTAAGCAGACCAACTGCCAGAACTCGAACTCGCATCCACTCGGTGCGAACCTCCCACTGACACAGTGACTGGCAGCAGGTAGCCTCACTCATTCACAAAAGGACAGCAAGCACCAACTCTGGGTCAACCTGTTCTCTGGTGCTGAGCGAACTAGACAAGGTCCCCACACTTGGAGTTTATGACCTGCCAGGGCAGAAAGCCACTTTCTCTCAAATCCTGCATCCGGTTGTGGGGAAAACCACAGTAATTTCACCTCTCTTCTCATTCAGAGTAAAGAATGGAGATCTTTCATTTACAAGACACCACCTCCATTCCTCCCCCATTTGCTTTCCCTACATTCTCACGGCCACTCTGACCTTGCAGTTCTTCAGACACACAGGTACATTCCTGCCTCAGGGCCTTTGCACTTGATACTCCCTCTGCCTAGAACACTCTTCCTCCAGGAGCTTGTATGGCTTATCTCCTCATCTTCCCATCTTCCAAGTGACTTCAAGGATGCTTTCCATGGTAACTCTATTTAAAATCCACCCCTCCCCCACAGCAATTATTACCTGTGCTCCTTTCTTGCTGTATTTCTCCTTAGCATGTATTACTTTGAAAAAAATTGCTTTTATTGGGGTTATAAATTACCTAAAACTCACCCCTTTCAAATGTATACTTAAGTGATCTTTATCAAAGGGTGCAACTGTCTCTGTACATCGGTTTCGAACACTTCCTCCCCTCACCCCAAAACCTCTCCTGCCCATGTAAGCTAATCCCCATTTCCACTCGGTTCCCCGCACCCACTGACCCACTCTGCCTGCCTTCCTCGAACACAGCGCATGAACGCCGCCGCACAACGGCGGTCTGCAGTGCCCACTCCTTCACCTGGCATCGTGCTTCCGAGTCCGCCTGTGACGCGGCCCGTGTCCATCCGTCCTTTTTGCTGTATACGTATCCCACATTTTGCCTCTCCATTCACCAATGGATGGTCATTTTGGTTTTCATGTTTTTTGGGTAACGGGCTATATATTTCACCTTGTTCCCCCCATACAATGTCAGTTCCAGGTGGTTGGAAATGGTGCTCACCGTGCACCCCCAGCACTTGAACTCTGCTGGACACAGGGCAGGTCCTGAAAACACACGGGGCCAGCATGGGAGAGAAGGACAATGTCAGAGAGTGCTGGGCAAGGGCCGTGCTGGCAGCACGGAGCAGGGAAGAGGGGATGGAGTGACGGGGCTCTGTGGAGCCACCCACCAGGGTTGGCTCCTCCAAGGAATGGACTTTGGAGCAGAGACCTGAGTGCACGAGGCTGATTACTGCACATTGTCATCTCTGGGCCCCGGGCCCCAGCCCTCCGCCCTGCCCACCCACTGCTGCAGGTACAGTCTGCAGCCAGCGGCCAGCAGCAGGGCAGGGCTGGGCAGAAACTCACAAGGACACAGCCTGACAGTGATGGGAGCAGGTGGCTCGCCTGGCCCGACCTGGGGCCAGCCTGGTATGGACAGGGAAGGCTGGGTGTTACTGGCTGCTCCTGCTGCTGAGCACCATGCAGGGTGAGACAGAGGGAGCAGGCACAGCCTTGGACTTGAGCCACATGCCTGGTGTGAATCCCACCTCCAGTCTGTTCACTGCTGCACATGCTCCTCGTCATCTCCCTTAACTGTTCAGTCCCTTCGTTTTCTCACCTGCAAACAGGGATAACAACACTATCTACCTTTTATTTTAAAAAAGCCAAAACATTGTTTCCTAAGCACTTACTCTGTGCCAGGCACAGGCCTAGGAAACAAATCCATCGGATCCTTACCTTCCCCGGTTTGGCAGCTGCCACTTACAGATGAGAAAACCGAGGCACAGGGAGGCGAAGTGACTTTCCCCGCATCACCCCACTGCTAAGTGGTACAGCTGTGCCTCAAATTCAGCAGCCTGGTCCCAAGTTCATGCTCTCCCCCTTTTAGACTGCGTGTCACCAAGCCACAGGGGGTTGTTAAAGTGAGTGAATGTGTGGGAAGCCCCTGGAACAGTGCCCAGCGAGGCACACAATAAACACACGAGGAGCGATAATGCTCTCACAGGTCACGGGGAGCCTCCCTCCCTGTTTCCTCAAGCACAGGCAGGCAACTGACCCTTTTGGGGGAAGATGACACCTCTAGCCCCCTTCCCAGAAATCCCCAACTGCCCACCCCAACCCCCAGCTCCACTTCAGTTGCAAGGCTGGAGAGGCGAGTGTTTTTGTTTTATTTTGCAGTTAACTGTCCACCCTCCCCATTGCCCCAAAGCTGGGCGGTGCTGGGAGGGGCCGAGTCAGAGCTGAGGACTCTGGACAAAGGTCTGGTGGGGCTCCTCTGCATTCCTGGGCGGGCAGGTCCTGCTGCTCCCTGCTCCCTGACTCAGGATGTACTTCCTCTTACCACGCAGCTAGACCTGTGGCAGTTGCGCTCCTGGGAGTGAGGACCTTGAGGTTCAGGGCACATTTCCTGTGCCAATCCAGCCGACTTCTCTCAGCAGCCCTGGAGTCCACTTCCAAGAAGCCTGAGGGGGCTGGCCAGGTGAGTGACCCCAAGCGCAGCTTCCCCACAGTTCAGGGTCTATCAGAAGCAAGGGCAGCTAACCCGAGGGTGAATCGCCTCTCGGCAGGGCACATTCCAGGGGGCAGGGAGTATGGTGGAATAGGGGTGCTTTTGACCTTGGTGAGCTTCCAGCTCAGGCTCTCAACTTGGGTGCCCACAGCCTCACTCTTTTGCTTTCACCTAGCACAGCCCCAGCAGTTCCTCAGGTTCTGACAGCAGCCCCAGCGACTCAGACACGGAGGCAAAGGTGGATGGCTTGCCGCTCCTAAGCGAGTGCTGCCAGTACCTCAGCCTGGGGAGGAGGCCAGCCCGAAACCTGGGCAACCCCTTTACTAAGGGGTCTCCTATTTCATCCCCACTGCCCTTAGCCCCACAGTCCCCCTCTTCAGGCTCAGAAACGCAGGGAAGCAGCCTGGGCAAGGTCAAGAAGCCCAAGGTAAAAAGGGGAAGAAGGCTTCTCACCGACGGGCCTGGGCTTGGCCCATTAAACCTTCTCTAGGCCTTCTGGTGACCTCGGTTGCAGGCAGCTGTGAACTGTACCTGCCCCACCCGCCCGCTTCCCTGCGAGACTAGCCTGCCCCCTGCCGGGCAATCACGCACAGCCACCAAGGAGAGGCCACCCACACTGAGCCCACCAGGGTTTATTGTTTCCGGAACAGCTGCGGCCTGCCAGAGGGACGGCTAGTGCAGCTGGGGATCTCAGCACCGGTGGCGAAGGGGGGGTAGGGGGGTGGGGGGGACGGGCGGGAGGTGGAACGCAGGAGGGTCTCTGGCCCGGGGAGGAGGACGTCTGGACCATAGAAGTGGTGGGCGGGCAGGCGGTAGCTGGCAGCTGGCAGGTAGCTGGTAGCCTTCAGGAGAAGCAGTTAGAGGCGGGCCCCACTGTCCTCACCGCACCAGGTGGAAGGTGAGCCAGTACATGAGCAGAGGCTGCGCCGCGGCCACGGCCATGGTCAGGTACATGCGCAGCTGGTTCCGTGCCCCGCGCACTGGGACTCCCTCGGCCGCAGCCTCCGCCAGGATCTTCAGACGCAGCGTTCGGATCTGGGGCCGATAGGAGTTACCCTTGAGCCCTCTGGGCTAGGTGCGCTCCCGGACACTTCCAGTCTCTGCCCCTCTGCAGCCCCCGCTTTCTCCCTCCCTCCACAGGGGCAGCTGGGCTCAAGTCTCAGCTCCTGCGGCTCCTTAGCTTCTCAAATCTAACAGCCAGTGACCCCCTCCCAAGGCCTTGTGAGAAAATGTAAGGGTTCAAACCCAGGCCAGGCCCCTGAGTGAGTGAGGGGAGGAAGTGCCGTGATCATGGAGCCTAGATGGGGTGGCCAGATGCAGCTCTGGTTGCTGTCACCTGCTCACAGTGGTCAGATGATAATTTGTAACACCAGCCAGAATGCCTTTTTGAAAAATCTTGTAAATAAGGACATCTAAGTCAAAGTCTAGCTGACGGTTAGATGTGACCCACCAGCTACCAGTCTGTGCTGTCTGCTCCCCACGCTGTCCTCCAAGTATCCTGAGGTGTAGCTATCACCACCCCCAATGTACCAGAGGAAACAGGTTGAAAAGAGGAAGCGATCTGCCTGGACCCAGCGAAGCGCAGGGGCAAACCCAGGCCTAGCGAATGCTAGTGCTCTTAACCAGCACCTCACTACGGGCCCTCAAACAAGCTACTTGGGGCGTGCTGAAAATTTTTTCATCCAAAAGGAAACTCTGGCAGGAAGGCCCACCATGTAAGCAAAGTAGGGTGAGGGTGAGCATCTGCCCGCCCTAGCAATCTGGATAGCTCCTCTCTTCCTTTAAGCTCCAGCTTGGACACCCCCTCTTCTAGGAAGCCTTCCTGCCCCCAGGCTACGGTGCCCACTCCAGGGCTCCTCAGTTCAGCAATGCCACTCTGGTCTAAACTCCCCCCCTGACATCCGCTGCTTGGATGCCTCCAGGGGACCCCAGCTCTGTCCAAGAGGCCTGTGTTCTCAATCTCACGCTGCCCTGAGCCCCAGCTCACCATGAACACAAAGATCGATACACAGCACCAGCCCAGCACCAGGTAGTAGCCAATCTTCCCAAAGAGCAGGCCCATGAGGACCCCGCCAATCATCCTGGGGGGAAGAGGGGAAGGTTGGTCTGAAGAAGAGGCCCAGGGCTGGGGATGGCAGTAGGGGAGACGGTGATACTCACCCAACGTATTTGTAGCCCAAAAAGGCAACCAGATCGATGGTGGTGAGGTCAGTGTTGGCAGTGACCAGGTAGAGGCTGAGCAGGATGGCCAGCACCTCCAGTGTCAGCCAGGCCAACGCCGAGCTGGCCTGCAGCCCCAGGAGGTCTGGGGAGAACCTGTGGGCACCCGAGCTGTCATCTGATCGGCCGGCCCAAACCCTCCCTACACTTGGGGACAGCCTGTGTTGGGTGGGGCTGGAGACCTGGCAGAGACCAGGATGGACCTGGGCCCTGTCCTCGTGGAAGTCCCATTCCAGGAAAGGCAGACCTGTCCTCAGTGACAGCCTAGACAAGTCAGGGGGAGGCCCAGGGCCGGGGAGGAGTCTGGCCCAGCATGGAGGGGTACTCAGGCCTTCCCAGGGGCGGGGACACCTGCACTGAGCCCTGAAGACAGTGGTGGGCTGGGAACAAAGGACCTTGGTCTCTGCCATAACCCTTGTCTCTCAACAATTAATTTACCCAAATGACAATTACTTTCAGTGCCCAAAAGGAAATGAACGGGGCCTATGAGCAAGAGGTGGGGGACTGACACAGCCTGGGGAATGGGAAGGCTTCCCCACGGAAGTGACATTGGAGTGGAGACATCCTGAGTGAGCAGGTGCTCAGCAGGGGATGATGTGGGGGAGGAACCTACTCCTGAGCAAAGGGAGCTGCGCAGAGACCCTGGGATGGCAGTGCCAGGCCCTCTGGAGGATGGAAGGAGGACCGGAATGGAGCAGCAGAGTGAGGGGGTGCAGAGAAAGGCCTCAGGGAGGGCAGTGCAGGGCTGCGGAGCTGGGGCTTGCTCTGGGGCCAGGGGGCTACGGACAGCTTCTGAGCAGGATGGGAAGAGACCTTTCTGGCTGCTGCTGGAGTTGGGGTGCAAGGGGTGTCTAGGGTCAGGGAAGCTAGCTAGGAGAGGGCAAGGATGAGACTGGACCTGGTGGTGGAAGCCAAGGGGAAGGACGGATTTAGAGAACCACACAAGGGTGGGAAAGAGAGGGTGACCCTGAGCGTGACACCTAGAGCTCTGTCCTGGGCCAAACGGGAGCATGGCGGGGCCGTTCTGAGACAGGACACCGAGAGACTCTCTGATTCCCCTCACCCCCCAACCCCGCACCACTCTGCTCACCCAAGTTCACTCTTACCTCTCCTGGGTCCCCAGGGCCAGGCCTGCCACCAAGATGTAGGTGATAAAAGCCATAGCTATGGGAGGCAGACACGGACACAGGTCAGAGGAAGGACCATCCTGGGCCCCCGGCAGCTGGGCCTCTGCCCCAGACTCACCGCCCAGAGGGAGGAGGGTGCTAGGCTGTGGTGGGTAGGGAGATACCTGGAATGTAGAGGTCAGGAGCGTTGATGTCAAAGCGGGGGGCCACTGGCGTGTCCTGCTGGTACTGCACCTCCCAGTCCTGTGGGGACAGTGGGGGTAGCAGGCAAGGGCCCCCAGAGTTGGGCTCCTTCCACCCTGTGTACAGGTCCTCTCTTAGGCTGAGTTACCTGCCGGCCCTGACATTTGCCCCAGCCTCTGACTCAGCCTCTCCCACGGCCCCGCCCCACAGGCTGTCTCCTCTGGGACCACAGTCACCTTGGCAGAGGGTGCTCTGACCTGGTGCAGGTAGGGAAAGAAGAGCAGGCCCAGCTTTTTGCCCACGTACAGGGTGTCCACAGCAAAGTAATACTTGAGCTTGGTGACAGGGATGAAGCGGTCGATCTGGAAAGGCAGAGCTCTACCTGAAGCGCTGGCCCCAGGGCCCCAGGCTTCCCCCCATTCCCACCAGCCCAGCCCACTCACGTTCTTATCCACCAGCTCCTTGCCTTGAGCGGCCAGGCTGCTCCCATAGGCCATGGCCATGTTGGACACGGGATCATTCAGGAAGGCCCCCTGGGGCGAGGCGGAGGCTGTAGGGTAGCCCAGGCCACCGGGCTCCCGCTGGGCCCCATAACCCCGGCTCTGGGCGGAACTCGTGTCATCGAAAAGCTGGTGGGGGTCAGACATGCCCAGATGGGACACAGGGATTCTCCGCTTTGAGGCTGAGGGGGGAGAGAGGTTGAAGCCCGGTTCATCCTGTGAGCGCGCTCCCTCCCATCCTGCCGCGGTGGGGCCCGGGTCTTCACGTCTGACTAGTCAAGCGTGGGCAGGCTCTGCTTGCCATCCATCCATCCAAATAACAAGGAAGACAATGTTGATAGCTACTATGTACTGGGGCCTACTGGGCACAGAACCTTGCACTAAGCTTTTTACAAACAAGGTCTCTGTCTACATGCCTCTTCATGCTCCCCCTCGCTCAGTCAGCTTCAGACACATGGGCTTCCACGCTCACTGAACACATCAGGCATGCTCCCGGCTCAGGGCCGCTGCACTGGCTGTCGCTCTGCCCGGACGCTCCTCTCTCAGATGTCCTCATGGCTCACTGCTCTCCTTGAAGTCTGGGCTCCGTGCGGCTTCCCCCGAGACCCTGTCTACACTTGGGCCTCCCCAGGTGGCATTCCCCATCCCCTGCTTCATTGACAACCACAGACTGGGCACCAGCAGAGATGCCAGATGTTTTATTTCTTTTGTTCCCTGTCTGTCCACAAAACTCTTTGTCTTCTTCATGGCTGAGTCCCATACACAGCACTTGATAAAAACCAGATCAATGAATGAGTGGCCATCCCCACTTTCCAGATGTGGAAACCGAGGCCCAGACAGGCTAAATGCCTTGTCCAAAGGGCCAAACTGAGTGAGCAAAGAAGGGCAAGAGTCCCACCCAGGTCGCCCAATAAATACTACGATAATTCAGCCCCAACTGAGCACTGACCACATATGAGGCCATGTTCTGAACACTACAGATTAACTCATTTCATCCTCACAACAACCCATTTGCAATGACGCTATTAGCACCCGCATTTTACAGATGGGAAAAGCAAGCCCCAAAGAGGTTCAGGCCCATGCTTAAAGTCATACAGATAGTATGAGGCAGGGCGAAGGTTCAAGTTTTTAAAAGGTCCCCTCGGCTTCATGTTGGGAGTGGGGATGGGGAGAGGAGAGGAGAGAGGAATTTGCTGGTGCTACAGGTAGGATGGAGGGTGGGACAGAGAGGTGGGGGGTGGGCTGTCTCTGGATGGCTTTTGGAGGCCAGAGGGCCAGGACTTGCTAGAGGCATGCTAAGTTGGGGTGGAGTAAGAAAGAAGAAGGAGAGAGGAATACGGAGACGGCCAATCTGAGCCCAGCACTCTGGCTCCAGGGCCCCTACTTCTAACTAATAAGCGATGCTGCTACAGCCAATATTCACTGAGCCCCTCCTATGTGCCAGGCACCATCATGGGCACGGGACAGGGTGGTGGCATTACAGTGGGAAGGGAAGGAGTCAAATCATCTGCATTATGCCTTTCTCTGGGCCTCAATTCTCTCCTCTGTAGAAAGGGGTTAACAGTCCAAGGCAAAGTGGTACTCAGAAATGGCTCAGCCCCTGGCCTGGCACCTATTACCAATGACAAGCCCCTCAGCTCTTCCTTTTGATTATCTGTAGCCATTTCTCTTTTCCCCTCCCATTTCTGGCCTGAAGGGTTGCTTCCTAAAAGCTTTGGTGCCAGCCCCTCCTCCCTCGGTGTAACCCCCTCAGCAGGTGGCATTTGGGGTCCTGCTCCCACAGGCTTCCTAAAGGCTCTCTGCACCACCAGACCGAGCCCGTGATCCTGCTCTCATACAGCTCAAGCCCTCACAGCACTGGATGCAGTGCCCCAAATGCCAACCTCCAACTCTGCTCTCTTGGCTTCCAAGACACTGTACCTGTCTTTTTCTGTTTCCTTTCTGAGCCCCAACAACACCTCCTGAGCACCCCTCTGTGTTAGGTTCTGATGGAGGCAGCAATGATCCAAAGGACAAAAACTCCTGCCCTCGTGGAACTGATGTCATCGCGATCAGTCCCTCTCAATCAGCGACTTATTTCCAGCTCCCTGAAATGTGTAACTCAATTATCCACCCTTGCCCTGTCTTCTGCCTCTCACCAAGGGCAGTCTCACCCACACCCACAGCTTTCACAGGGACCATGTGCCTCGGGCTCTGGGCTCTCGTCTCTAGCCACCACTTCTCTCCAGTAGCCAGATCCAGGTTGGCCACTTCCTGGCAATGCCCTCTGGCTGCCCCTGGGCCCTGACCTCAGTTTCCAACCCCCTGATTCCCCTTCTGTATGGCATCTAACCAACCAATTGCTAATCCTCACCCACTATGTCTCAATGTCACCCTTCCCACTCAGACTTCACCCGACTCAAATGTACCCTTCCTGGGTCCTCTAGTTCACAGGTGGCAAGCACAAAGCCTGTGGGCTGAATCTGGCCCTCCACCTTGTTTTATCCAGCCTTCTACCCGGTGGCAGCACCAAGCTCCGCTTAACTGTTAAGGGGTAGTTACATTTAAACAGTTCTAAAATTACTTCAGCCCTTTGAAGGCAACTGTAAGGCTGATGTGGCCCCTGGTGAAAATGAGTTTGACACCCCTGCTCTAGTCCATTCTTAGTTGCACCAACCTTCCCTCCAGTAGGCAGCCAGAGTGCTCTATTTAAATGAAAGAGAGAACACATCCCGCCCTGGCTGGTGTGCCTCAGTGGGCTGGGCGTTGTCCTGTGGTTGGAAGGTCGGGTTGGATTTCCAGATTCCCAGTCAGCTGGGGCACAGGCCTGGGTTGCAGGCCAGGTCCCTGGCTGGGAGCATGCAAGAGGCAACCGATCGATTTATGTTTCTTTTGCACATCAATGTTTTTCTCCCTCTTTCTCCCTCCCTTCTCCTCTCTCTAAAAATAAAGAAATAAAGAAATAAAGAAATAGAAAACATTTCCTGTCCTCTGCCTACAATCAGGACCACTGTGTTGAGAATAAAACCCAAATGCCTGTGAGGCCCTGCAGACAGGACCCAGCTCTGCCCACCATCCTCGTTTACTACCTCCCCTCAGGGCTCACTGCATCCCAGCCACAACAGCCTCCTCTCCGACTCTGGCCCAGCCAAATTCCTGGCCCTCACAGGCTTTTGAACATGCAACCCCATCAACTGGGAACACTTTCCCATGATTACCAACTGCCAATGCAAGCACTCTGGACTCAGCTCAAATGTTTCCTTCTTACTTTTTGGATGTGAAAATTGTTTCAAGCTTTGAACTGAGAGTCGTCAGGAAGCCTGGTAATTAGGGTTGTTATTGTCAAAAATCTAAAAAGAGAGTGGGATCTTTTAGTCTTGGCCTCAGCACTCATGACATGAATAAGAAGTACTCCATACGAATGTCTTTGTTCAGTATTTGTTTGGTTTTATTTATTTTTTTTTGCACTTCCGGTGCTGGATGTCTCTGGCTGAACATTTCATGTGGTTCCTCCCTGAGCTATGCGTCCTGTCAGTAATAAGTACTATGCCAGGCTCCATGTACATGTCACTGCGGTGGGACCTATATTCTAATACTGTTCCTAATATTTCATCTTACTAGCAAGAAATCTTTTATTTCATTTTATTCTCTGTAATTCTAGACACTAGATTGTAGTTTAGCCATACTGACTTTTTAAAAAAGATTTTATTTACTTATTTAAGAGAGAGGGGAAGGGAGGGAGAAAGAGAGGGAGAGAAACATTAATGTGTGGTTGCCTTTCACACGCCCCTACTGGGGACCTGGCCTGCAACTGAGGCACGTGCCCTGACCGGGAATCGAACTGGTGACCTTTCGGTTTGCAGGCCGGCACTCAATCCACTGAGCCACACCAGCCAGGACTGTACTGACATTTTTTAAAAGAGAGATATATTTTCTTACACAGTTGTTTGAAAAGAGACACGTTTCAGTCCTCAATGCTGCCCTTTGTTTTACAAGTACAAGTTTTCTAGCTCAGACAACTCAGTCAAACTGTAGGTTGTCTCGAAGTCTTATTTGCATGCGCTCTGGCTGTTGCTCTGAGCTGCACGCAGTGGGACTGTGATGGTACAGTGCGCACAGGTACTGTCCTGCCAGACTGGGATTTTCTGTACTGAAATCTTACCTTGTATCAAAAGTTATAAACAGACTTTAGTGCAATAAAGGTCAATTTCTGTAAAAAAAAAAATGTTTCCTTCTCAGAGAGACCTTTCTCACTCCTCAATATAAAGCACTAGCTAGTGCCCAGCTTGTTCTTTCTCATAATATCCAGTGATTCTTTCTTTCCCTTCTGAGTACTTATCACAATTGCTACATATATATTCATTTGTGTACTTAGTACAGACCTCCAATGCTTTTCCCTCTCACCACAAATCCCCTTCTCTGAACTAATTCCTCTTCATTACACCTACCTCTACCAGGAAGCTTCACTGACACCCCCAGGCTGGGTCACATGCCCCATCTGGGCTATCACAACACCTCCATCCCAGCCATAACCACTCTGATTGGGCTTCCCCCACCGTGCCCCTAACCCCTCTGCCTGTGCTGCTTCTCTCATCATAGGCCCACCCCTCCAGCCTGAGGCTGTCTTCTGCTCTGTCCTGGTAGCTCCATGAGGGCAGAAACCTGTTGGGGCACCGCTGTATCTCCAGCATCACCTACCACAGAGCCAGCCAGGCACCTTACTGATGGTTGAAGAGAGGACTGAGCGCACCACACTGTCTACCTCAACACAAAGGCCTCCCCAACCTCTAGTAACATCCTGAATTATTCTCTTTACGGCCCTTAGTCCCCAAATTATCTGGCTGACTTGTTTGTTTCTGAGTTTAGTGTCTGCCTTCCCACTAAATTCTGAGCTATAAGTTAAGGAGGGCCAGTGTTATGCTGGACACTAACCAGGTACCCACATTTTAGCACAGGGCTGGGCACAAAGATGCTGAGGCAGGATGTGATGAATGAAAAAATAAGATGAAAGCACACTCAGGGAGATAAAGAGGAACTTAGAGATAGAAGTTCATAAAGATGGAAAAGGGAGGTTAACGGCAAAATAAACACAGGTTCAAATCTTAAATGAGGGATAATTGTGGCTTTCGTCGCTCACGAAGGGCTATGAACGATGTCCTAAGACCTGGGCGACAGCCCGTGGCCACAGAAGGGGCCAGTCTGACCGCTTCCTGCAAATCCATGAAAGTCACACTTTTCTACCTATCATACAATATCTTGCCCAAAGTTGTTTCCTTCCCAAAAACTTTCTAAAGAAAAGAAGAATCGACCCCAATGCGTCCCTACCCGGAGCTGGCATCCCTCCGTGGTGCACACTTCGAAGAGCCAGATCCCTGACTTCGTGACCTCTGACCTGCCGCGACCTCACCAACCACCACTGTGGCCCCACCACGCCCCCGCCGGCCCGCTCTCTTCGGCTAGCCACGTACGCCACTTACGCTGCCGGGGCGTCCCCGCCGTCGCCAAGCCCGCGGAGTGCATCCTCGGCCGCTGCCACCACCACCGCCCCAGCCACGGTTCGAAATATGCCCGCCCGGCTTCCGTAGCCACGCCCTACCAGCTACGCAACAGCCAATGGACCACACGATCGTTCAGGAGCCACACCTCCTTGCGGAGGCCTGGACGAATTGGCTGTGGGTAAAAGGGGAGGAGTGGAGGTCCTTGACGTAAGCCGAGAGTCCAGACTGGAGGCGCAGGAGGGCGGGGTAGGGGAACAATCCTAGACGTAGGCCTGTCGTGGAAGATGTAGGTGTCGAGCAAAGAGGCCGATGGGAAATGTAGGTGTCGAGCGAAGAGGCCTATGGGAAGTGGAGTTCTCTAAGGACAGACGCTCAGAGCAAGCTGGATTGGTTGCTGAGACCAAGCTGGAGCTAGGGAAGGAAGAGAGTGGAACAGGGAAAGAGTGTTCCCGAGGGCTCAGCGGAGTGAGTGGTCCGGGCTCTGACAGTTGTACAGCTTGTAGAACTTATTGAGGTGAACGTTTAGAGTGAGAAAAGGACACTCGGCAAATCAGGTAGTAAGAACCAAGATGTCCAAGAGGAAGACATCTCTAGACGTTTTCCCAGAAAATAATAAAAATGTTATGCGTTGCAACCTGGCTTTCCCAATCCTCAAAAAAAAGCTACCAACCCCCAGCAATTCATAGCACACACAGGCACATTTGCAAGTGAGGGGCCCTGAGAATTAAACTTCCTTAGTCTCTCCTCTCTTTGTCCCTCAGTCTCCCCATGTATCTCACTAGGTCTCCCCCCTTCCCTCCCTCTCAGTCTCCCTTTTTCTGTCCCTCACTCTCCTCCACTTATCTCAGGCAGAGATAATGGTAGCAGTGACTTCTGGGCAGTGATAGCACTCCGGAACAATGTCAGCAAGTGACTCTGTCACTGTGGCTTTCCCTTTCCTCCTCTGAGACGTTGTCTTTTGGGGGGACCTTGAGGGCTGCGTTGGCCCCTGAGTCATGGCTTAGTCACAGGCTTTTTCTGTGAGTGAAGTGTCCCCATTCCTCTTCTGCACCCCTGGTTTAGCATCCGTCCCTTGGGCTCCACCAGCATTTTCTCATTCTCAGCTTTCCCACTCTTTTCTAAATTCTTCTGTGAGTATTTTTTTATTAGTGAAATAAGTATTCTGGCTTTCTGCTCACCTCATGTTCACATAAGTCACTCCTTACCAGTTTTGTGACTACTAAATTTTTAAGCCTACAATTTCTCATCTGTTTAATGGCCATAATATAAGAGGGGTTGAGGATTCAATACAACCTCATGTGTCCACAGAGGTCTAACATATTGAAGCCTTTGATCACTGGCCCCCACTGTTACTGTTGTATTATCAGGCGTCTCTTCCGGTGAGTTCTCAGTCCCAAGTTGGGCTCTTCCCAAGAGCTGCCACAGTTTTATAAATAGAACCAGCTGGGGTGTGTCTGAGCTGGGCCATCAGCCTCACTCATCTGCCAGTCAGATGTGGTCAGGTCTCTGGTCTGCCTTCCGGAAGGCAGTCATGGAGTGTGCTGAGTTCCAGCTGGAGTGGGATGTGGAGAAAAGTACAGGGGGAACAGGGAAGGCACAACTCCCCTTTCAATGGAGGTGTGGATCTGTGGTTCTGCCTGGAAAAGAGGCCCTGCCTCATTCCTGTTCTTCCTTCATGTTTCGCCTCATATTATTTCCTTTCTCCGGAAGCTCTCTTGATCTCCCAAAAGCTGTGGCAGTCGCCTCCTCTAGGCTCCTTTGGGCTACACAGTCTTCTAGGCATCTACCATCTCAACTCTGGTCACTCTGCCTGTGCTTCCCTCTGGGCTGTCACTCTGTTAAAGTGTTGGGAGCCCTCTGAGGGTAGGTTTCAGAACTGTCGTGGTCACTGCTGTGTCCCCAACATCACTCAGCAAATGGCCCAACGCAAAGTGAGTCCTGAACAAAGATTTGGTGAAGAGCTGAAGATCCCCACTCTGTCGCCTGCCCTAACCTGTGTGGCTCAGTTGGTTGGGAGTCCTCTTGAAAGGCTAAGGGGCGCTGGTTCCATTCCCAGTCGCAGCATATGCCCATTGAGGTTCGGTCCTGGTGGCGGCATGCATAAGAGGCAATGGATGGATGTTTCTCACATCGATGTTTCTCTTCCTCTCTTCCTCTCTCTCTGAAAATAAATAAATAAAATCTTTATTAAAAAAAAAAAAGATCCCCACGAGAGGATACTGCTTCTGTGTTGTGATTTAGACAGACCTCCCCTCCAGCGGACACAACTCCACTCCAGAGCACACGACTTGAGGAATGGTGCGAGGACTGGATGTCAGTTTGTCCCCTTCCCCCTCAGTCAAGCCCCCGGATGCAAAGCACAATCTTCGCCGACTTGGGTGAGGGCCTGGAGGAGTTGGGTGCGACCAGACTTCTCGGTCCGCGAGCAGAAAAGAGAGTTAGGACTCTTAGTTTAGGAGTCGTGACACCTGGGAGGCAGAAGAAGGCAGAAGAAAGGGATGGAAAGAAAGGCAGAATGCCTTTATCTTTTCAATCCCATTCCCCCCGCCACCCCCCCCCCCCCCCGCTGTCCTGGAGCGCTGAGCTCCACCTTCTTGATATTAACACCTGGCGGTGGGGCGTGCCTCAGTTTCTCAGAGGCGGGACGCTTCTCCACGCCCCCGTCCCTCCCCTTTCTTCTCTGGTTCCTCTTTGGGTCGCTGGTGGCCGCGCCTAGAGCACTCCCGGAACTGAAGCTGGGCGCTGGGCCCTCAGGAGGCGGGGGCCACGTCAGCTGGGCGGCGGGGCTTGTCCAGGAGCCGGTGGGGAGCCGGCGGGCGGGAGAGTGCCATGCGGCGGGGCGCGCTCCTAGCGGGCGCCCTGGCCTCCTACGCCGCGTACCTGGGGCTGGGCGCGCTGCTGATGGGACGTCTGGAGGGACCGCACGAGGCTCGGCTCCGCGCGGAACTGAAGATGCTGCGGGAGCAGCTGCTGCGGCGAAGCCCGTGCTTGGCCGCCCCCGCCCTGGACGCTTTCCTGGAGCGGGTGCTGGCGGCCGGGCGGCTGGGGCGCACTGCCTTCGCCAACGCTTCGGGGCCCGCTAACGCCTCGGACCCCGCCTGGGACTTTGCCTCTGCTCTCTTCTTCGCCAGCACACTGGTCACCACCGTGGGTACGTGAGCGTCGCCCCAATTCCCAAGCCAGCGAGGACCTGAGATCCTCACCTTGTCCTCGTCCCCAGGGTCACCTGGGAGCCCTCACGAAACAGCCTTATTCCAGCGGATCACTCCAGTCCGCTCTGGGCCTAGGATCCCCTCAAAACCCCAGAGAGAACCCGGGATCCACAGTCGTGGGATCCGCCCCACCCCCACCCCGGGAAGCCCCCATCCAAGCCTCTCCCAGCAGGAAATCCCCCAGTTTCCTCCAGCACGAGAGCCAAACTCAGAATACCTCCCAGGGAGCATCTGGGACGTCATTACTCTGCCTTGAGCCCCTTGGAGACCTGGGCTTGTCTAGTTCTCTTTGGGCCTCAGAGACCTTCAGCGGGGACCTGGGACCCTGGGCCTGAGACCCTCACCCTCTCCGGACCCGGATCTTAGCCACTAAGGAACTCTGCCCTTCTCTCTGGGCTCAGAATGCTGTCCAGATATGTCCTTCTGGGACACCCCTTGGAAGCCCTAAACCAACCTCCTCCTGGCCCTGGTGCCCAGGTGAGAACCCTGAGTCTCCAGACCCTCTGAGGGTGCCATCGCTAAAGACCTTACTGCCAGTAGAGATCCCTCAGCCCGGACCTGGGGCCTCCCCCTAAGAGGTCCACTCCTGTGGATCTAGACCACTCCCCAGCAAGGCCCCTGCCCTCCCACACCCTCACAGCCCCCAGCAGGTAAGCCATGACTCCAGACACAGGACGCTTCCATGTACCCTACTCCATCTTGGCACCTCCCATGTATTGAGGAGCCCTCGATGCAGGGTCTTCTTCCAATAGAGACATTTTGGCTTTCTTTGAACTTGGAACTTCGATTTTAGCTGCCCCTAACTGGATATGTGAAAGAGACCCACTGCAGAGGGAGCTAGACCACCCTCCAGAAGCCCCCCAGCCAGGACTCCCTCGCCTCCAATCCAAAACTGACTCCAGCAAAACCCCTACTGCTTTTCAAACCAGGGACTCCCCATGGGGGCTTCTTTGAAGCCGAGAAACCCTGGTTGAAACTCAACACTCTCTGGACCCTGATGCCACTCAAGAGCCCCAGCACCACCTGGACCTCCTGTCAGAAACCCCAGTGCCCTCCACATACTGTCACTGGGAGCAGAATGTACTCCCCCCCACCACGATACCAATTACCAGCCTAAGGACTCCACTGTTTGCACCTGCTACCCCTGCCCTGAGACACTAGCCCCTCAGTGTCTGCCCCATCCCAACTTGGGTTTCCCAAGAGAGGGAATCTCCTGGGCACCTGGAACCCCTCTGATCTCTAAACCCACAGCAGGAGCTCTCTGTATAACCCAACACCACCCTAGCCTGCCTTGGATCTGAAATTCTCCCCTCCACCAAGAATACTCCAGGCCCCTGCACCCCAGAGCCCTACCTAGTGTCCACTCAAGACCATCACCACTTTCTACCCTTGACGTGCACAGGCCGGACCTGAGACACCCACTCTGTCCCATCATCCCCTTAGCCTTGTCTACTCTCATCATGTGCCCTCAGGCGCCCTGGGGCTCAAAACCCGATCCGCCTGAGGATTCCCCTCCCAATCCTATTTGTGATCCAGAAAATGCCCCCACTGATGCCTGTCCCCTCTTTACTCTGGACCCTGGACCCAGCCCCAAGCCAGGGTCCATTTCAAACCAGGATACTGGCCTTTGAATTTGGATTACCCAATCCCCAAATCCCTTTCTCAGAGACCAGCCTCCTCAGGTGGGAGCAACCCCTCCTCCCAGACCTACCCATCACTTTCCCACCCCAGCCCTCAGCAGACCTGGGAAACCCCTGTTGTCAGGCTCTGGTCCTTCCACATCCCCTCCCCTAAACTTCCTCTTTCTCCCTTTGCTTGAAATTTGGACTGGGGGTCAGGGGGAGGTGGGAGCTGGAGCAAGCCTAGCCCAGACTCCTACCTCCTCCTCCCTGCCTGCAGTAGCTATCATGCGGCCTTTGCCTTTGGTGGTCCATTGTGTGGACCAGCAAACCAAGGCCATGGGCAGCAGGGCTGGTGTGCCTCTCATACTCTGTTCTGCTGGCTGGGCCTGCCCAACCTGTTCCTAGGCTTCACTGGGTCACATGAGTGTCTCCATCAACCTCCTCCCAGATCCTGGTTTATGAGAAGTCTTCCCAGGTGGGACAGATGAGGAAGCCAAACAAAAGCAGGTGCAGCCTAGGTTCAGATCCCTGCTCAGCCACTGCTCAGCTCTAGGCCTCAGTGTCCTCCCTCCTCTATCAAATGGGGATAAAACACTCCCCACTTCACAGTAATAGTGAAACCTGGTAGAGGACTTGCTACATACAGGCTTTAACTCAATCAGCACATACCTTGTGAGGCAGATACCATTAGTGGCCTTATTTTTTTTAGCAGTAGAAACTGAGGCCCAGAGAGGCTGTGTAACTTGCCTAGGGCTGTACAACTAGGAAGGTGTAGAGTGGAAATTTGAACCCAGGCCATCGGGCCTCAGAGTCCCATGCTCTTAACCAACACACCACACTACCTCTTAGGCCTGCATGATGGAGAGTGATGTGTGCATATTGTAAAGGAAAAATTAACTTTAACACTTGTTAAAAATGGTAAGTTATTGCAATAGGGGAGAGAGACTGAACTCAACTGTGAATATAGCAAAGGCAGCTGGAGATGTAGAGCAGAGAGCAGAGTGAGGGGTTCAGTGGGCGGGAAATTACTAAGAGGAGACAGGTACGCAAGTAGGGGATTCTTGTTTACTGGCTTAATGGGACTGTTGCGAAAGACCAGCCAAGTCCTCGGCTCTCAAGGGTGGAGGATGATGAATGTGATCAGATATCAAGAGTGGGGAGATTCTCCCTAAGCTAACTTAGAGTTCTTGACAAAACTTGGCCAAGAAGAGGGCTCCAAGGAGCCTAACCAAAGTGGGTCAGGAGGGAGTCTGTGTCAGTTTGAAGGGCTGGGGATAAGAACTGACAGGTTTTCTGAGCCTTGGTTTTCATTGTTAGGGAAACTCGGATCTCTGAAGGTATCTGAGAAACAAAAAAACAAACATCTCCCATGCCTTCTTGCTCTCGTCACAGGCCCAGGTCCTCTGAGGAAGATCCGAGGCCTGGAGTCAATGCAGGCAGCCGTGCTGCAGTTGAGGCCAGGGGTGGAGGAGTCAGCAAACTGGACTGAGCATGACCATCATGGTGACTCTTGTTATGTCTTCTTAGGTGCTACACCTTGTCTGAACCCGGTAGGGTCATTACTATCGCATTTGAGAAAGGCATTGTTTAGGAACCCATTTTGCAGGACTCTGAGGAAACAGGCTCAGAGAGGAAAGTCACGTGGCCAAGGCCACATAAGGAATAAATGGCCAAAAAAAACAAAACTGATTTGGACTTTGTTCTTTGGATTAGCAAATTGAGACTCCCAGCCCCCCATTCTATTCTTAACTCTGATTTTTCTGTTTATAAGGATTTTGAGTGATTTACAAACCTGCCATTTCAGCCAGGCTGCTGGGGTTTGTCCATCAAAATCCTTGTACTAATGAGGGTTGGAGCCTTAAATGAAAAACCTCAAATAACAGTTGCTTAAATAAGATGGAAATTTACTTCTTGCTCACATTCATTATAGTCAGTCCAAGACCAGACTGGTGCTGCACAGTCAGAGCACCTTTTGTTCCTCAATAACGCATCTGTGCACGGTCACCTCCTGGTCCCAAATGGCCACTCAACTTCAGCCTTTCAGTCTGTGTTCAGCCAGCAGGAAAAGGGAGGAAGGAAGGAGATAGGTATCTCGTTCTCTTTAAGGACACTTCCTGGAAGTTGTTTGCTTCTTTTTTTCTTTTTTAAGATTTTATTTACTTATTTTTAGAGAGAGGGAAAGGAAGGAAGAAAGAGAGGATGACAACATCAATGTGTGGTTGCCTCTTGTGCATCCCCTACTGGGGACCTGGCCTGCAACCCAGACATGTGCCCTGACTGGGGATCGAACCGGCCACCCTTTGGTTCACAGGCTGGCACTCAATCCCCTGAGTCACACCAGCCATGGCCATGTTTGCTTCTTTCATATATATCTCACTGGCCAGAAATTATTCCAATTACACCCAAGCTGAAAGAAAGGAAACCATGCTTTATTACAGCTGGCCATGTGGTGTCCAGCAAAAACCAGAGTCCTTTTTATTTTTCCCCAATTTTTTTTTACTTTATTATTTTTCCCCTCACCCGAGGACCTTTTTTCACTGCTTTTAGAAAGAAAGGAAGGGAGAGCAAGAAACATCAATGCATGAATTAGTTGCCTCGTCTACTTGGACTGGGACTTGAACCCACAACTTAGGCATGTGCTCTGACTGAGAATTGAACCTGCAACCTTTTGATTATGGGACGACACTCCAACCAACTGAGCCACAATGGTCAGGGCTTCCTCAATTTTTAAAAAAGTATATTTTATTGATTGTACTATTAGAGTTGTCCCATATTTTTCTCCCCTTTATTCCCCTCTAACCTGCACCCCCCTCCCATCAACATTCCCCCACCTTAGTTCATGTCCATGGGTCATACATATAATAAGTTCTTTGGCTTCTACATTTCGTATACTATTTTGAAACTCCCCCTGTCTATTTTGTACCTGCCATTTATGCTTCTTATTCCCAGTACCTTTCTCCCATCCCCTGCCCCCCATAACCCTCCATGTGATCTACATTTCTGTGATTCTGCTTCTGTTCTAGTTGTTTGCTTAGTTTGTTTTTGGTTTTGGTTTTTAGGTTCAGTTGTTGATAGTTGTGAGTATCATTTTACTGTTCATAGTTTTGATCTTCTTTTTCTTAGATAAGTTCCTTTAACATTTCATATAATAAGGGCTTGGTGATGATGAACTCTAACTTGACCTTATCTGAGAAGCACCTTATCTGCCCTTCCATTCTAAATGATAGTTTTGCTGAATAGAGTAATCTTGGGTGTAGGTCCTTGCCTTTCATGACCTCAAATACTTCTTTCCAGCCCCTTCTTGCCTGTAAGGTTTCTTTTGAGAAATCAGCTGATAGTCTTATTATGGGCATTCTTTTGTAGGTAACTCTCTCCTTTTCCTGCTTTTAAGATTCTTTCCTTATCTTTCATCTTGAATAACTTAATTATGATGTGTCTTGGAGTGTTCCTCCTTGGATCCAATTTCTTTGGGACCCTCTAAGTTTCTTGGACTTCCTGGAAGTCTATTTCCTTTGCCAGACTGGGGAAATTTTCTTTCACAGCCTTGTGGTTCATCCTCTGTGCCCGTGCTGCCATCTCTGCCCCTCTACCAGCCTGGATGAATATTTCTTCTTTAACTCCTTGGTTGTTGGACTGCCACACAGTTCAATTTTCTGGCAGTTCTGGTGGGTTTTTGTTTTTAAATTTGTTGTTGCCCTTCTTTTGGTTGTGCAAGAGAGACAGCATATCTACCTATGCCTCCATCTTGGCCAGAGGTCCTCAATTTTTTTATTATGTTAAAATACATGTAAAATTCTCCATCTTTGCCACTTTTAAGTGTGCCTTTTGTTGAATCAAGTCCATTTATGTTATTGTGCAATCATCACCAGCATTCATCTCCAGAACAATTTTTACCTTGCAAAACTGAAACTATACCCTTAAACACCAACTCCCCACTCACCCCTCTCCTCAGTCCCAGCAACCACCATTTTACTTCGTGTCTCTATGATTTTGACTACTCTAAGTACTTCATATAAGTGAAGTAGTATGTGTCTATCTGTGACTGACTTTTTTCACTTAGCATAATATCCTCAAGGCCCATTCATGGTGTAGCATATGTCAGAGTTTCCTTCCTTCGTAATGCTGGACAATGTTCCCTTGTGGGTGTTTACATTTTGTTTATCCATTCATGCATGGATTGGCATGTGGGTTGCTTCCACCTTTTGTTGTTGTGAATAATGCTGCTATGCACATGGATGTGCAGGTATCTCTTTGAGCCCCTGCTCTCAGTTCTTTGAGTCTATGAAAACGGGATCCTTTTGTATGGAAGATGTGTTCATATGCATGACTCCACACGTTATTATTGAGCATACGGCTGGATCTGCTGTGTTTTCTGCAAAAACATCTTACTATCAACGTAAACTAGGTCCCTTACCACCCCCATCATACCTCCGAACTTTTGGGTTGATTTATTTGGGAAATAAAGAGATTTTAAATTACGTACTGCCACAGTGAGCCAGTCTCACCTACGCCTGAATTCCCCTGTATCGTGTTTCTGTGTGCAGAACTTAACACCCATCGTCCTGTGTTCTCAGGCCCTCCAGGAGCTCAGTGGGGCTTGTCACACCCATTTTAGAGTAGAGGGAGCCAGACTATGGCCTGCACCCTTCATTTATTATTTCAATGATTGACTGAGTGACCACTCTGTGCCAGATACCAGGACTATAGCCGTGAACAAAATAGACAGAAGCCCCTGCCCTCCTGGAGATGGCACTCAAAAGAGGGAGATAGATAATAACCAAATAAGTAAACCATATAGTTTGCTAGGTGTTAAATGCTATGAAAACACCCCCCCACCCCCCAAAAAAAGAGTTGGATAAGAGGGTGTAACAATTAAAAATAAGGTGGCCAGGGAAGACCTCACTGAAGTGATATTTGAACAAAGACCTGAAGGACAGGGAAGGGAACCCTGTGGATGCCTGAGGGAAGGGTGTTCCACGAGGAAAGAACGGGCAGTGCAAAGGCCCTGGGGTGGGAGTGTACTTCCCTGCTGGATTATGTGGGGCCTTGTGGGTCACGATGAAGACTGTGTCCTTTCACCCGAGTGGGAAGGAACCACAGGAGGGCTCTGGGCAGGGGAGGGACATGAGTTAAGACTGGTGTTCACAGCGCCCATCTGCCTGCATGGGGGGACAGGTGGCAACAGACTGTGGGAGCAAGGGATGGGGGAGCAGGAAGGCCAGGGAGGAGACTACTGGGGTAGATGTTGGTTGGGGTGGGGTGGGTGAGTTTAGAGTCTATTTGAAATTTGACACAATAGGACTCACTGACAGAAAGTGGGTGTGAGTGATAAGAGAGTCAAGGATGAGGCCAAGTCATGTGTCCTGAGCAGTCAGAAGGATGGAGGTGCCATTACTGGAGATGAGAGAATGGGCATGGGGGGAGAAGATTCAAGGGTATAATTAGGTCTTGGTCTAAGGTGGCCACAGACCCCCAAGTGGGGGTGCCAAGTGGGCAGATGAATTTCCTCATCACTTCCACAGGCTATGGGTACACGACGCCACTCACTGATGCGGGCAAGGCCTTTTCCATTGCCTTTGCGCTCCTGGGCGTGCCAGCCACTATGTTGCTGCTGACTGCCTCAGCCCAGCACCTGTCTCTGCTGCTGACCCATGCACCCCTGTCCTGGCTGAGCACACGCTGGGGCTGGGACTCCCACCGGACAGCCCGCTGGCACCTGGTGGTTCTGCTGGGGATCGTGGTGGCCATCTGCTTCCTGGTGCCAGCTGCAGTCTTTGCCTACCTCGAGGAGGCCTGGAGCTTCCTGGATGCCTTCTACTTCTGCTTCATCTCTCTGTCCACCATTGGCCTGGGTGACTACGTGCCTGGGGAAGCCCCTGGCCAGCCCTACCGGGCCCTCTACAAGGTGCTAGTCACAGGTGAGTAGGGTAGTTGGCTTGGGACTGAGGGCAGGGGCATGACCTTGTCCTCGGGGGTCTGAGGGGAACCTGGCCTGTCTGAGAGGGAAGTTGAGGGCCACAGCCCCATCCTAGGGGGTCCAGTAGTCCCTTAGCCCTGCCTAGGGTCTGAGTCCACCCATGGTCCCTTGCTGTCTCTGCAGCCTACCTCTTCCTGGGCCTGGTCATCATGGTTCTGGTGCTGCAGACTGTCCGCCACGTGTCTGACCTTCACGGCCTCACAGAGCTCATCCTGCTGCCCAGTCCATGCCCTGCCAGCGTCAATGAGGATGAGGATGATCGGGTAGACATCCTGGGCCCCCACTCAGAACCACACCAACAACTCACCACCAGCTCCCACACCGACTATGCCTCTATCCCCAGGTAGCTGGGATAGGCACCTTGAGGCTGGATGGACCTGGACTGTGGCTGAGGAGCCACATGGTCAGCTGACGTGCACATGCCAGTGCTCGTGAGCACCCTGCCACCAACTGTTCATCCTTTGTCGTACCTGTCCTGGGCTCGCCCAGCACCTGCGTTACCTTATTGTCTTGGCCCCTACTCTCATCTCCCCCACACTCTGTGCCTCTTTGGCTTTCTTACCATTTCTGTCTTTCCCTCTCACTGTTTCTTTGTTTCTCACTCTTTTATTCCGTCTGCTTCTCTCAGCAACTTACTATCTATGGTTCTGCCAGACTCTGGGCTCAGACCTCATTTTGGCCACTAGATCGATTGGCCACTACACCATGGACAAGTGACAGCTCTCTCTGAGCCTTGATTTCTTTATCTGTCAAGTGGAAAGAATAGAGGATGGGGCAAAAGTAGGTTTATAGTTGTTGGTATGGAAAATAGTACAATGAATAAATAGTAACACAAGGATAAACTGTTTCGTGTATTCACAACTGTCAACCTACTTTTGCTCCACCCTGTATATTACTTCATCTCAAACCCTCTCTTCTCTGCTGGGCAGTGCTAGACACACAGTAATGGCCAAGGCAGATGGGCCCCACTCTGGAAACAGAATCCCTGTCTGGATCCAAATGGCATGGAAGGCGCTGTTCTTAGCCACGACAGAATTGTATCAGCTGTCCCCATTTACCGAGCACAAAGTGCATATTGTGTGGGTTCTGGAGCCAGCCTTTGCCTGCTTGGATGCAAATCCCAGCTAGTTGCATACTGCCCATCTCCATGGGCAGTCATTTTCCTCAAGATTCTTGGTCCCTCATCTGTCAAATGACAATAATAATAGTACTCACTTCACAAGATGACTTCACAGAGCTTGCCAAGTTTTTCTGCAATGCTTTCTTTGGCCAGGCCCTGTCCTGGGTACTTTACCTATACGAGGAAGACAATATTATCCCCTTTCCACAGGTGAAGAAACTGAGGTACGGGCAGGGGAGGTTCCTTGTCTTAGACACAGAGCTAGGAGGTGATTGATTTTTCTGTTTACTCCCCCCAAATTTGTTCCCTCCAAAATGGTATATCAGTAATAGCACTTACTGCCAAAGACCCAATTACCAAGCTGCTACCTCTTTCAAGCCCTGTGGAGGTGGCATCTTAGCTGGGCCTTGGTACTAGACAAGGGAAAGGGCATGGGGAGGGCATCCCAGGCAGGAGAAACCATGTGTGCAAAGGCATGGAGGTTGGAAAGCATGTTGGACACCAGCTTCTGTGAGTAGGGAGTGAATGGGGGAAGCAGGGTGGAGTGGTTGACATGGGCACCTCTAAAGTGTCCCTAAATGACCAGCTTGGGAAACTTAGCTTCTTTGAGGGTACCAGAGAATCATGGAAGTTTTTTGAGGGGTGAAGGTAATGGTTAGGTTCATGCCTTAAAAAGATCCCCTGGCTTCTCTGTGGATGTAGGTCAGAGGGGGAGATAAAGGCCGGGTGCTCAGAGAAGGCTAGGGCAGGAACAAGGTAGGAAGCAACGGGGCTGGGAAGAGCCAAAGGCAGGAGGTGCAGGTGGAGGGATGCTCAGGAGGTCAAGTGGACAGGCCATAGGCCTTATAGACTTGGGTGGGGGGTAGACAAGGCCAGGGAGGGGACCCAAGGGATGGTCAGCTGCCCTTGAGATGAAGACTCGGAGAAAGAACACGTTAGACAGGCGATGCTGAGGCTAGTTTGGAACATGAATGAGGGGCTAAAGACACCCAGAGGAAAGTGTTAGGAGATTACAAAATCCCCAGGGCTGGGGCCCGGAGTGGTTGAGGCTAGAGACAGGTGCGGAAACCAAGGCCAGTTGAGAAAAGGAGACCCAGAGAGGTTAGATAATTTGCCCAGTTTTGCACACAGGGAGTGCAAAACTGGGGTGTGCAAAACTGGGGTGTGAGCAAGGTTTGGGTTGGTCACTTTGTCCCATGGGAGCTCAGAAACATCTGCTGTCTAGCTCTTTCTCAGCTTCCTAGTCTTCTGCCTCCTCACCCCGGTCCTTGTCGACCTTGCTGCTGAAGTCAGCAGCTGGCTGGGGAGGCAATTGTTTCCCCCCTTTTTGAGGGAGGTACTGAGACTTATGCTCGTCACTGCTACTTCCAAATTTCTCTAGAAAAAAGAAATCAGGCCCTGTTCTTTGACGACTTTAAAAGAAAAAAATGTGCATGCTGAAAATTCAAAAGCTACAAAAGAGTGTACAGTGGAAAGTCAGTCTCCAGCACTCAGGCTGTGTTGACTGATTTCTCAGGTCTCCTTCCAGGCAAGTACCAGCAATATACATGTGTGTGTATATGTGGCATTTTCCTTTCACTCTACACAAGTGATAACTAGTATGGTGAGGTGGTTCCCATTACAGACTCTGGAGGCAAAATCCCTGGGTATAATAAATCTGAGCTCTGTCACTCCCAGTCAGGGCGTGTGATTTGGCCTCCCTGTGACAGAGTTTGCCAGTCTGTGAAATGGGAGGTTAACAGCACCTACCTCATCAATTTGTTAGAGAATTAAGCAACTTGATATCTGTGAAGCTCTTAGAACAGTGTCTGGTATTCAATAAAATGTTGGCTGATCATTATCATCATTTCTGCACTTTGATTTTTATAATATGTTATACATATATGCATATATAATTTTATACACTTTTTCTAATATTTTCTCATTTCTGCACCTTGGTTTTTTTCACCATCCTAGTGTAATTCATAGATTAATCCAGAGATGCACAAGTAAGTCCCATACCTTTTTAATGTCTGCTGTGACTCCTCTAGGACACACATCCCATAAATTATTCCAGCGTCTTCTTAATGGACATGTGGGTGGTTGACAGTCTCTGGCATAAAGAATGCTGCAGGGTACACCTAGTGCATCAAGGTCTCACAAAGGCACCTCCCCCAGATGGGGTTGTATTTCCGGGCGGATGTGCCATGAGAAGACCCCAGGCTCTCTGATTCTGTTCAGGAATCTAGAAGGGCTCAGGTACGCAGCTGCTGCGTTTATTCTCTCAGATGAAGTCATTCCTCCCTGGCCCATGGGGTGGGCTAGAGGTGGGGAACCTAGATATCCACCCGCTGTTCATTTACATAGAATACCTGTTCCGTGTTGAACAGAGTTGGGAACAAGAGTGACAGGGAAAGCCCTAGGCCCTGTCATCCCAGAGTCTGATTCTGTGGGAAACAAAAACTCAGTCCTAGATGGTTATATGGCCTAGCATAGTCAGGGGAGGGTGGGGCTGGTCATATCACAAAGACTCCAGGGAAAGAAAGTGGTTAGCCACTGACAAAGCAGAGAAAAATGTTTCAGAAAATGCTAAAGCATATGCAATCTGGAGGAGAAAAAGCATGCCTCATCCAGAAATTTAAATTGCTCTGTGTGACTGGGCTGTGAGCTACTCGAGTGTGTGGGGAGAAAAGAGATGAGCTGGACTGGAAGGCCAACAGGCATGAAATTGTGCAGGATCCTGGAAACCAACTTTGGAGGTTTCCCTGCAGTGCTGGGGAGACATGGAAGGTTTTAGAGTACTGGTTGCTATGTGTGGCCCCCCCATATTATCAGTATGAGCATCACCTGTGAGAGGGACCAAAGATTACCACCTCAAAATGATTTTGGGATTTTGAAATATCAAGCTGGTTATTTTTAGAAAGGACAGAGGACCTGCTCCAGGGAAGGAGCCATTTATCATCGTAGATAACTAGTTTAATGTGAAGCAGGTGTGACAGGGAGGAACCTTTCATTTTGATCAAATGAAAGGCTCATTTGATCAAAGTCCTCTCTGTGTCCCATTGTTAAACATGGCCCAGCAAATTGCTTTTCCATCCCCATGTGAATTGCCTTCCTGCCTTTCAAATTCCAAACCACAACCCCCTTCCCCAGTTCTCCTTAGCTTCATAATGACGCAAAAACCTCAACTGCCCAAAGCCTCTTTGGGTCTCCTGTCTTAAGGCACCCCCGCATGTACATCTGTTACAAACTTGTGACATTTCCGTTAATCTGTCTCATATTAATTTGATCATTAGCCCAGCCAGAAGAACTTAGAAAGGTGGGAGGAAATTTCATTTTTCTGTCCTCACACGTGGAAACGTGATGGAAGTACAAATCTTCAAGCTCCACCTCAGACCTACTGAATCAAAAACTCTGGGAGTGGATCCCAACAATTTGTTTTAACAAGCTTTTCTGACGAGTCTAACACATGCTGAAGTTGGAAAACTACAAGTTTAGTGGAAAGTCATCTCTGCAGTTCATCAAAAAGTCATGATTGGAGTCCTAATGTTAGACTATAAATGAAAATTAACTTACTGAATATTTATTTGTGCCAGGTAACTCTCCACGTGTTACCTTACTGACTTGCCACAATCACTGTACACGATGGTTGCTTTTGCCCCTGTTTTGTAGAAGAGCGTTAACTTGCAGTCAGATTAATTCTCACAAGAAGACGAAACTTTTTCTTTTTTTAGGTGTAGAACTTTTTATATAAAAGCCTGATTGGGTGGAAGGATGCATAGGTATCACAAACTTCGCCTCCAGCACCCTATGCCGGCCAGGCCCCAGGACGCCTGGGTGTTGTGCATCACTCTCCCTTCCCCGGTAAGCCCTAGGAGCACGTGGGGATGCTCGTTACCGTGGATACAGGCGTGCGAGGCGGGCGTGCCTCGAGAAAGGCGGAAGACGGTTGTGGAAGTGCGGGCGGCCATTTTGAGACCCGGTAAGTGGGGCGGGACTGGCGTGGGCAAGCGACGGCTGACCTGTCTTACCTAAGTGGTACCGCGGGGCGGGGAGAAGAGAGAGGTGCCTGGTGCCATCCTAGGGAGGGATGCGGGGAGTAAGGGAGGCGAGTGGGAGAGGCAGGGAAAGGGAAGAGAGTGGAGGGACCCGGCAGAGGAGCGGACTGGCGAAGAAATGCGGGGCGAGAAGCGAGGAAAGACTAAGAGACGCTGTAAGTAGAGGCGGGGCTAGAAGATGCCGGGCGTTGAGCCCGTTGTTGTCCAAGGCTTGGATAGGGATGGTGAAGAAAAAAAAGGGTTGGGATGAAAAGGTGTTGCGGTTCGGAAAGGTGAAGGTTGAGGAGGTGCTGACCTACAAGGTAGCCCGGCGTAGAACGAGGAGAAGGCGCAGGGCAAAGAGAGAAGAAAGGCAAAGATCTCTGAGAGGGGGCGGGGCCACGCGAGGGGCAGGGCAAGGAGCAGGCTCGGGAACTAACGGCTTGCCAAGAACCAGAGGAAAGGAGGCGTCGAGAATAGGTCGAAGACCAGGAACGGTACAAGGAGCACGAACAGATCGGAGGGCAAGCTCTAAGCGAGAAACAGCGGCAAATCCAGGGGAAGAGGAGGGACGTGGAGAAGGTCCAAGACCGGGAGAGGGGCGGGGCTAGGTACAGGATCCGGTAGGCTCGCCGGAGGAGAAAGGGGCGGTGCGAAGAGAAGTGGGCAGGCGGGGCAAGAAGTGAGGTAGGGCGAGGTGCAGCTGCAGCTGCAGGTGTAGGTATGAGGTCAGAGGGAGGGGCAGGAATGGAGAAAATAGATAGAACGCAGCCAGAGTCAGAAACAGAAATCCGGACTGGGTGAAGAGTTGGGGAGGGATGCAGAGCAAGCGCAGAAAGAAACAAGGGTGGGGCAAGGTTAAGGGAGGAGACGAGGAGGCGGAGCTAAGTCAGGAGCAGTGGTGTAGCCCCGAGCAACTGTAGGGGCGGGACCTGAAGTAACGGCTAGGGTGGGATCCCGCTCAGGGGAAGATGCTGGACCTGGGGCTGGAACGGAGGCGGAGCTCGGAGCAAGAGCAAGGGTGGGGCCAGGAGAAGGAGCGGGTCCAAGAATAGGAGCGGAGTGAGGCAAAGTACAGAGTCGGGATCTCAGAAAGTGGCCCGGGAGCCAGTCTTGCCAGCTGGAGTTGACCACCGCATTCCTTAGATTCAAGCCACGCTGTGCTCTGCCCCACGATGAATCCTGCTGGCCCAGCGTGGACGAGACTACAAGTCCTGTGGGCGCTGTGTCCACTGCTGGCGGTGCTATTATCACCGTGGAGCCTGTGGGCTGCCAAGGAGTGCACCTGGCAGGTTGTTCTGAACAAGTTCGAGACAGTAGGCAGGAACTTAGGGAGTGACCGATTCGTCGATCAAGAGCCCCTGGACACAGTGGACAGCTTGTTCGGCCTTCTGGTGGACGCGCCCATCGACCCGGACCAGGTGAGGGCTCGAGGGCCAGGAGAACGCTAGAGGTCCTGGACCTGCATCTCACTGGACTCTGAACATTTGCCTCAACCTCTCCTTGCAGGAATACATGAGCTTCCCTTACTACCTGAAGATCAACTACTCCTGCAAGGGAAAGGTGAGTCCGTGCAGCCAGAGGGTGCTCATTCTGTGTGAACCTGTTTCCCCATCTCTAACATTTTTTAAAAGATTTATTTATTTATTTATTTTTGGACAGAGGGAAAGGGAGAGAAAGAGAGGGAGAGAATCATCACTGTGCCGTTCCCTCTCACACAACCCCTACTGGGGACCTGGCCCACAACCCAGGCCTGTGCCCTGACTGGGAATCCAACTGTCAACCTTTATTTTTTATTTATTTTTTAAAAAATATTTTATTCATTTGTTTTTAGAGAGAGAGGAAGGGAGGAAGAAAGAGAGGGAGAGAAACATCAATGTGTGGTTGCCTCTTGCACACCCCCAAGGGGGGACCTGACCTGCACCCAGGCATATGCCTTAACTGGGAATTGAACCTGTGATTCTTTGGTTTCTAGGGTGGCACCCAATCCTCTGAGCTATGCCAGCCAGGGTAACTGTTGACCTTTGGTTGGCAGGCTAGCTCTCAATCCACTGAGCTACACCAGCCAGGGCAATATTGAACATCTTTTCACATGCTCATTCATCTATCTATCTTTGGAGAAATGTTCATTCAGATCTTTTGCCCACTTAAAAATTGGGTTGTCTTTTTATTGTTGTGTTATAAAATTTCTTGATATATTCTGATATTAGTTTCTTATTAGATATATGATTTGTATATATTTTGTCACTTTTTGTTGGTTGTTTCACTTTCTTGATGGTGTCCTTTGAACCACAAAAGTTTTATGTTTTATGTTTATTGAGATATAATCCACATACCATAAAAGAGCATCAAAATTTTAAATTTCAGTGAAGTCCAACTTACCAATTTTTTGTTGTCGTTACCTATGCTTTTGGTGTAAACAGGTTGTCTAAAGTCTTTGCCTAACTGGAGGTCATGGAGATTTACTCGTGTGTGTGTGTGTGTGTGTGTGTTTTAAAGTAGTTTAACCCTTACATTTAGGTCTTCAAAACATTTTAATTTAATTTTGTATATGGTGTGAGGTAGGGTTCCAACTCTGACATGTGACTACCCAGTTATCCCAGTACCATTTGTTGAAAACATCATTCTTTACCCCATTGAAATCTTAGCACCCTTGTCAGAAATCAACTGACCATAAATGTAAGGGCTTGTTTCTGCATATGATTCTATTCCATCACTCTATATTCCATCATTCTATATGTCTATCCATATGCCAGTACCACATAGTGTTGATTACTGTAGCTTTGTGGTAAGTTTTGAAATCAAAAAGTGTGAGTCCTCAAACTTGGTT